TAAATTTTTTTAAACTCAAATAAACGTATCAATTATATTTAAATATAATGTAACCACTGTGAATCATAGGTTTTACATTTAATGAATTACTTATTAAAAAATGTGTGACAAGGGTTGCTTGCGAAGTGGAAATTATTGGATGACAATGTTTTAAATATTAAATTTTCCGTATTTAGATAAACCAATCAAATGGGAACTTTCTTTGCAAACAATATGTAGTTCCTGTGGTTTTTTAGTTTAGCACCGATGTATGACTATAACGATTTTGTACTTATATGCTTTATGGTGCCGGAGAGTATAGTTCAAAATAAAACCTATTGTTGTTTAATATTTAAACTTATAAAAGTAAAAATATATATAATTTGCTGATCACAAAGTTATAATATCCTAACAAAACAATGCCACTCACTCGGAGCTAAAATATAAGTTTTTTAAATAATTAATTAATGAGAACATTTTATTTAATTCCTCTAAAAACCATTATGTAGGATCGCTATAGTCGTATGCCACGACTATAAAAAACTAGTTACTCTCTTATCCGGCAAAAAAAAAAGATGTGGCGCCATCTGGCGTTAAGGAACATTTATCTTCTTTAGATGACGTCAATAACTAATTTGTAAAATAGTTTTTACCTTCTACCTGTTACATACTTTTCAACGAATACAATATACCCTTTTCCTCTACAAGTAACTGATATAATTATACATTTATTTTTTTTCCACAATATTGGCTAACGTTGCACAAAACGTATAATAAATGGTAATTCCAGACACAGGGAAACCTCTTGGGATCGAAAGGGTTAAATAATTAGAAAAAGCATTAGTTGAATTTGGCACAGCCGGACGGAAAGTACACGTAAACGTTAATGCGTAGGGTGGTGACTGAAACTCCGAAAATGTAGAGGGGTCGGAAGTGGTCAATAAGATCTCGAGGGTTAAGCCAACGTCTCAAAAGACAAAGTCGAATTCTGGGTCAGAACTCCTTATATGAAAAGATATTACATGTATTTTAGTGGGTGGAACCATTCCCCACGAATCCCCCTGGGTTCGGATCCGCTCCTGGAGCGGGGGAATGCAGGCACGCACTCGCAGAAATAAATAGGGCGTTAAATGCTAATCTTGTGAGTACACAGGCCATGTACTCCACGCAAATCATGTGTTGAGCAATGCAAGCCTACATATGTATTTGCTATGTGCGATCGGAACACAGGTGAAATCCCGGGGCCCACAGACAGGTGAGCGGTCGTTAGCACGCGACATTCGGTTTTGCTACGATATTAACATGTTTTTTTCGCACTCTTCTTGGCCAGGCCAAAATTTGTTTAAAGTTTATGCATACAGAGGCAATATGTGCGTGCCAGCGAAGGCTGCATGTGTGCATATTGGTGGTTAGGGCCTTTTCGCACGAGCCGAGTGCCCATCTCATTTTCCGGCAGGTCCTACATGGCGCTATCCCCTGTCCAGGGTTTGGAACTGGCACTCCCGATACAAGGTCGGAATTTAGGCAGCCACATATATACAACTTGTTCCTTTTTATCGCTCCCGTAAGCGATAAAATCGAAAACCCAGAAGATAACTCGGCTCGTGTAAGGCGGCCTTTTGCGCGTTCTGGGTTAAGAACCCCCGCCATTCCCCCCCCGACAAAAATCCAACAATCGAACCATCCTTTTTCAGACCCGTGGGATGCTGGTGGAATTCCAATTCCCAACTTTTGATTTCGATTCTGTTCTGATTCGATTCGCGTTCGCATGCAATTTTCAAAATGACAAACAAGGTAAAATAAAATAAAATGTGTACCAATATGTCAAGCGTCAACGAATGCAAACGCACACTGAGATGAATTGTTAGTTGCCTACACACGTTACCTTCGGGTATTGATTGTTTTTTAAAAGAAAACACAAAAAAAAAGCCGCGAAAATCACACAACCAGATTATTGATTTTGGCCCCCGCTGGATTTGGCGCACACAAAAATTTGACTGGGGAACAGCGGGCGATGTAGGCGATTCGGTTCCGACTTGGCGAATACAGTGAGGCCGCGGAGGGTTAGGCAAATATACCGTCTGGATCTGAAAATACTTTTTGTACAATTTTCGAATATACCATAAAACAGTCCGAGTTTCCAACGAGAAATATTAAGACACAGCGTTTTTCTAATAATCGCTTAGGCACACTAATAGCCAAGGCACACTAACAAGAGTTTCCTATCGATATCTGAGTTAACTCGATAGCTCCGAAACGGAGTGCACAAATCAGCAGTTTAAACGGTGAGTTTTTGAGTGTTAATACAAAATCAATGCCAATAGGGTTTTATCAATTTTAAATAAATAATAAAAATCAATAAGAACAGTCTCATGAACCTGTGGGTCGATAATCTGGATGACCCAGGAGCAGTTTGGATTAATAGATCAGGGAGTGATGGTCACCACATCATCCATCAAAAGGATATTTGGGATTTATGGGATTTAGTAGAGATAATTTTCGTTTGATATCGTTGTTTGCCAATATTTCTAATGCCATTTTCAGTAAGCCCGTCTAAGTAGAACTCGCCTCCACTAAAACGTTAACATAAGTGGATACAAAATTCGCTGCGGAAGACATTACACTTGCTAATGCTAAAATTGTATCAAGTTTTGCGTTATTATCCATTTTACTGATGAGAAAACTTAATTTCTATGTTCTTGTCTTCGTTTTGGTTTACTTACTTCCCGTACGCCGATCAGCTGCTTTTGTATCAGCGGGTGCCTGTCTAAATGGGTCGCAACAACCCTTTAACGGCTGTGTGACGACCGAAGAAGTAACAATTCGATATATTGTTAAAACAATCGATAGTTTTGCAGCGCTTAATAGACTTGAAAATTTATTTGAACCATAGTCCTTAATGTTTTAGGATCATTATTTCACAATCAAGTAAAATTTAATTAAATATTTAGTGCGTTAGTTGGTTTTGCCCCCCTTGTTTATGAAAAAACCTAATTGGTCCACGGGATTGTAGTCGACATATCCTTAGAAAATAAAAAAGGTTAAGAACCTAATCTTTTCAAAGTTTCATTTTGTTTTGTTCTGCCAATTCTCCCAGTAATCCTTTTCTTAAGTTAGTTTTAAAAATAAAATGCAAGGATCAAACTAATATTCCGTTCAATGAAAGATGACGCATGTATTTGATACATATCATACCGTTTCATACCGATATACAAAGTTCCGAAGATTAGAAAATGATTAATTAAAAAAAGTGTGCATTCGGGCTGCCGAAGCTAGGGTTTGAACCGTTTTCCAAGTCAAAGCCATCTGCTATAATTAGCAGGAATAATGGGGTCTTTACAACGGGGCCACCATATTGATTTGGAAAACAATTCAAAGAAGGCCTTCCATCGAAGTGTGCCAGCTGGGTGTTACTTTTTCTGTTTCTTCTTCTCGAGCTCCTCCTCCTTTTCCTTCTCGATGATCTTAACGTACTCGGCGATGACTTTGCTGTCCAGCATTTTCAGTGGCTTGCCGTTCTCCATGATGGCTACCTCCAGATTGTTCTGGCCCGACTGGGCTACTTCGAGGAGGGCGCGGATGGCCAGTTTGACGGCTCCGCGCTCGGTGCTTACTTCCTCCTCGCGGTAGGCCTTCTCGAAGAATTCGCGCACAACCTTCGCCGAGCGCCCGGTGGCGTTCGCCTTGTACTCGTAGAAAATTCCGGACGGTTCGGTCTGGAACAGATGTGCAGAGCCGTCGGCATCAAAGCCGCCGATAAGGCAGGATATCCCGAAGGGACGGCGGCCATTGCTCTGCGTGTACTTCTGCTTCAGCTGGGCAATGTATCTGCAAGGCAAGAGCTATGTAGAACCACTATGGGAGAACAGTTACCACTCCAATCCCTACCTGGTAATGTACTCGAGGGTCACAGGATCCTCGACGTTGAGGCGGTGGCTCTGGCACTCGACCTGAGCGCGGTTTATCAGGATGCGTGCGTCGGCCGTCAGACCGGCAAAGGCCATTGTAACGTGGTGGTCGAGCATGCAAATCTTGCGCACCGTGCGATCCTCCTGCAACTTGGCCACCGACTTCTTCTCCACGCCTAGCACCACGCAGTTGGCTCCTCGAACGCCGACCTGTGCGACAAGTCGAAATTTGAGTCGGCTTGCACGGGATTGTTTTGCGAAATGTCGGCACTTACCGCTGTCGAGCCCTTTCGGACCGCCTCCTGAGCGTACTCGACCTGCAGGAGGTGACCGTCCGGCGAGAATATGGTAACAGCCCGATCGTAGCGCGAGGACATCTTGTGGCTTTATTCAACAGCAGAGGAGTTTGCAAATATTCTTTACTCGGTTTTTCCCTTGTCGTCTCCGGCTGGTCAGGCAATGATGATGCTTTTTTGAGGAAATGCCGCAGTGTGACCGCAGCACGATCACCGCTTTAAAACATATCGTGATATCGGTTGGCAGTCAGTTAAGACTATCGGCTTAAAATAGCTAGATATTTTTACATATTAATTCTAGTTGTTTTTCGGTTGTTTTTTGTCGAATAAATATAATACAAGAAAACTAAATTAAAACGTGACAAAACTTTATTGATAAAATGCAATTTCGGTTTCTTGTCAGCAAGCAGTACAAAAGCAAGTGGTTGAAGTCGACCACTAATTTGTAAAGCAGTGTATCGTCATTAAGTTTTGAAAGTATCATAATAAACACATTTGTTTTATAAATCAATATGATAAATACTGTTAATAAATATACAATATTATTCTCTTATACAGGGGAATTCATTATACATATGTGTAGCAGTTTGGTTTTATAAAATATCAATTATGTACTTGAGGCAGCCGTTTGCACGGAGTTGATGCGAAAAGATAAATAGACCGTGGAAGAAGCAGAACAATTACAGCGCTCTCTCTCCAAAGACAAACATTTAATTATTTTAAATTTTCATTTCATATGTCTTATTCCTTAATTTGTGGCTCAACTATTGCAGCTCGAGGCCCTGGCAGCGGTGTTTATCGATAGTTGCTGTAGCCCTCGTCGTCGCTGTAATTACAATGTGCATTTGTTTTTGTTCACCAGCATTGTCCGAATTTACAGTTAGTTTATATGTTTTTGTAAAATGCGATCGCGGTGATATCGGCTAATAAAGGTGTTGTGCCCAATGTGATTTTGTTTAAGTGCGTTTCGTGTTCGTTTAGAAGTTGAGTGGGTTTTGCGTAAAATACCAGACAGCTGATCACAGAACAGCTCACACCTGCTACAAAAAGATAATAATTATTTGAAAGCCTGGCATTTAAAGGAAATTAACCAGCTGCCATCATATTTATATAACTACAATTTGATTGATTATGGCGCTGCCAAGAAAACTGATATCGAAGATCTGTAAGTAAATCGAATGTTCGAAAGTACCGTTGTGTATTCCCACACGTACAATAAGCCTCTGCTTTTGTTGTGTGCGGCGTACGTGAATTTGTCTAGTGTGTGTGTGTTTTATATAGTACCGTAGTAGATTCTAATGTTGCATGAATCTTCTGCACATTTGAAAACATTACCACCCGTTCTTGTAACAAAGGCCAACCATTGGAAGCCAATTGGAATATGGCTAATATGCGAGCAGCTGCAGGCGAAATTTCAGCGTTAAAGTAACACAATATCTAGTTTTACCTGGCAATATCAATGACAAGTTTACCAAGAAGTCAACATTACATATATATTTAGACCCGATTCGGTTTTTATTTATTTTATCTTTTCTATGAATCTATGGCAGATCCAATCTATTCAAATTTGTAACTCAATTATTTCGGTGACTAAATCCATAGACGTACATATGTAAGTATGTCTCAATATAAGTCCGTTTAAATAATATTTAATAAGGCGGTCAAATAGACCATAGCAGTAGTTACATGTTCCTGTTGAATTGAATGATTTTACATATTTTATTTCTTATCACTAGTGAATTCTGTAGAAAAATGCGAACCATTTTTAATTTCTTCTAACATATCTATTTAATCAGTTCAATGCCCTTTTGTCGAGGGTCGAAGATGAGAATTTTGTATAAGGTAAAATTAGACAAAACCCAATCATAGCTAAAGTTGTAATACGTTTTAGGACTAAAGATAGTCTAATCCAAGATGTTCTTTCAAGAACATTTAAAATTAATAGACTTTATTTTCATTTTTTGCAGACGATATAAAGGCACACGATAGCAGAGTCACGAGCCTTGATTTGGGGGAAACGGGTCGAGTGCTGGTCACAGGAGGAGAGGATCGCAATGTAAACCTTTGGGCAATCGGCCAGAATGAGTGCTTCATGGTTCGTTCAAACTCCCCATACCCATCCACCCATCAAATGCTCATCTAGTTCCCTTTTCTTTTAGTCCCTGACGGGCCACAATCGCTCCATCGATTGCGTCCGTTTTGCGTATAAGGATAACTTTGTCTACTCCGCCGACGACATCGGAATAATCCGCAGATGGGACCTAAACTCCCAGAAAATTTACTCCACCTTAAATGGCCACATGAAGAGTGTTCGCACTCTGGACTTTAATCCGTCCGGAGAATATGTGGTGTCCGGGAGCAACGATACGACCGTGAGGTGAGCTAAAACTCGATATAAATAATCATACCCACCCATGAGTCAAGAGCAATGTTTGCTTATCAAGTATGGCCATAAAAATGTATTTCTCGCAGTTTGAAAAGAGAAGGCGATATTTCACTGTCTCCCTCATTCGGATGTTGATAATAGAGGGGATGAAAAAGCTTAACAATCTACAAACAAGAAAGATCTAGTTGTGGGAGCCAGAGATTCCTCTTGAAATGTTGTATGCAAACATCCGGTAATACAATGAGTCATACAATTTTTAATGAAACTTTAACCGGCTAAACTTTGATTAGATTTTCAGGTAATAGGCAGGTTATTCTCTGACAACTAAAGAATTTTATCAAATTCATATTGTTCCTTTAATTGACAAGATCATTGAAATGGCAGCCATACGAATTTGATCAAATAAAATTTTTCTGTAATCGTATAAAATCAATAATACTAAAATAAAAAAAAATTCTCAAATTGGCCCGACGTTACTATGCAAGAAATATTACGAAGTATTGAAACAAAATGAATGCAAAGAAAAAATAAGTTTTCAAATTTGTTTTTAAAAATGAGAGCAACTTCGGCGACTTTGTAAAAATTTGAAATATCGTATAAAGCATGCACAATTTATACTTTGTTTTTTTGTTAAAAAATACCAATATTGTGTCTTTCCGACTACAGCTGTTACAATCAATTAGAGCCAAGAGTACTTTTTTACACCATTACGATGGCAAAATCTACTCTAATGTATAAACATGAATTTTTAGTAAATAGAACATTTTAAAATTATGATTCTTAAGAAGAAATCATTGCTTGGCGCTCATTCGTAACGTGACCGAGACAGCTTAATAACATTTGGATTAACAGATGATTTTAAGTGTTATAATATTTTAGATAAGTATATTACTCTTCATTTGCCTAATAAGTCTTAAACATGATTCCAAACTCACCACTCATGCTTAAATCAGTTTTAAGCTTTAAAAGTTCAGAAGCATTTCTTTGGAAAGTTATAATTGGGTGCCTCGACCCTAAGATACTGGTTAGTCAGCAACCAATTTTAAAATAAATATGTCTCAGCTTATGGCGCATTTCGAGAATTTTGAGTGGCGCCACCTACCCAACTAGAGTGTCAACATCTAAAGCTGAGAGAGAGCAGCTCGCCCCCGCTAACTGTTCTTTCACTCTCTTTCGCTATTTCAAATATATAGTAAAATTGCTTATAACTTTTAAAATAATGGTTCGATTTAAAAAATTGTGTGTGTGTTGATAGATTTTGACAAAATCATTTTTTAAGTGCGGTGCCAACGCATACCACGCAGTAACTGTCCACTATCATGACCACAAAGTTTTTCGATTTCTGGGCGTTAGAGTCAGCGCTGCATGTCAAATCCCAAATCTCTAGCTCTTGTAGATTCCGAGATCTCGATGGACTCAGCTGATCCTGATCAAGAATATGTATACTTTATATGATCGGAAACGCTTTCTTCTACCTGTTACATATTTTTCAACGAATAAGAAGAAAGAGTGCTATAGTACAGTACCACGACTACCAGAAACCCGGTAATCTGATAATTATTTTCAAAGAAATATGCCTCCAGCTGATGGAGCCGTGTGCAATTCTATTAAGTTACTGATCGTATTATGTTTTACCTTTTAATTCTTAATAACTTCTCGTGGGTGTCGGATTGTTATAGTTCCCGAAATTTCGACGGTCATACGGACTGACAGACGGTTTTGGCTAGATAGGCTTTTGATCCAGATCAGGAATATTTGGTTTTATGAACTAAAAAAGTAGTGATAAAATCAAGCAGATTGGGTTGTTCTCTCCGATCTTATAAATCTCGAGAACTGTCAGACAGCTGGACATGCTACGTTGAATCCCCTGGTGATACTGATAAAGAATATACGTATATAGAGTAGGAGTTCTCTTTATCCATTTTGTAAAGTTACAATCATGTTGGTGTTTTATAATTGTCAGGTCAAGTTTATTTGGAATATTAAAACGTTTTACAAAAAATACTTCTTTCACCACGGGTGTTTAAACAATAGCATAAGTATGAACATTTTACTATATGTACATAGTTATCGGACGCGATACAGAGGGGTCATCTTACAGCTTGGCCGGTGCGCTCTTGAGGTCCACGTAGGCGCCGGATATGACCTCCTTTCCAGTCTCCACAACGACAGTGCGGAAGTTGATGCGGGTGCCCTGCTTCCACATGTCCACGCGCAGGCTCTGGCCTGGAATCACGGGTCCGGAGAAACGGACTTTGACGGCCTTAAATATGGCCGGGTTATTGTCCGCGAACTGCGAAAGAACGGCGCGTACGGAGAAGCCCAGTGTGCAGAGTCCATGTAGAATAGGTGTCTTAAATCCGGCCAACAGGGCCATCTGGGGATCGATGTGCAGGGGGTTACTGTCGCCGGAGAGGCGGTAGAGCGCCGCCTGGTCCTCGCTCGTGACGTACTGAATGGTTGCGTCCGGCTGGCGACTGGGTGCCGGCTGGAGCGGAACGACTCCGGCGATGGGCTCCTTCTTGCCGCCGAATTTGCCAGCGCCGACCACGAACGTGCTGCTCTGGTTGCGCACCAACAGACGGCCGCTCTCGTCATATGAGTCGGTATTGGTGACGACCACGGCGCCGGATCCCTTGTCCATCACATCGAACACCTTGCCGCTGGTCAGCAGAGTGCCGCTGGTGGGCAGGTCGTCGACGATCTCCAGGTACTGCTCGCCGTGCAGAATGTTGGAGAAATCAACCTGGGTGTTGGGCAGGGCCTTGCTGATCAGCTTGTCGGTGGACATGGCCAGCAGGAGGCCGGGCAAAACGAAGAACGATGGAATGGCGGCGAAGTCGGCATCGTTCTCATACAGGAAGCGCATGTCCTTGGCGTTTTTGATAGATGCCCCGATGCCCAGGGCGTAGGTGATGAGCGCCTTGCTGTTGAACTCGAAGGTGTCCTCCACGGCGTCGCCGCCGCCCGCCTTCAGCTTCTCCAGCACTTCCAGCAGGGTGCCGGAGGCCTCTGCGATGGCGCCCAAGTGCTTGGCCTTGGACATGTCCGTCACCTTCGACCACACATCCTTCACGTACTCAATGGTCACGGGCTCGTCCAGCGTGGGGCGCAGCACGGCGCCCTGGCCTCGCACAGTGTGCACCTTGGTGGCCCAGCCGGCGGCGCTCTCGATATAACTGCCTGTGGATCGGAAAAGAAGATAAAGCTGTAAGTTGAAGTCTTTTAGGTAAACAACACAAGTGATACGGAAGGGACAAATTCACTTTACACATATTAACCTAAAAATAGAACAGGGTTTCAAAGGAACCCGGTTTAGTACCCAATACAATTGCTTTCCACCATTTAATATAATAGTTGAACTTTTGTCGAGTATGTCAAAGGGTATTATAATGTTGTTCAGAAGTTTTCATTTCGCTATCAATATATAAATTCCTGATAAGCTAATCCGGCAAGCCGATATATAAATAGGCATCGTCGTAGATTTAACTGCTCAGTTAGATCGCTATCAACATGAGACTTTCTTTAATCTTACATGTTCGCATATTAAGTTAAAAAACCAATCGTATTGAACTGCAGTTTAGTTGTCATAGGAACGACGTAATTATACTATTTAAATTTATAGTTGTGTAACACCAGTGTGCCAGTGGCAAAACAAAAGCTTAGATACATTTTAAGACCGTTTTCTCATCTTGATGCTAAGCTAATCTTGGGGATATACACATGGAATTTTGTAGATTAGTGACTGGTCATAGCGTGACATAAAGATGGGAAAACGGAGGAAGTATGGGAGAATGGGACCGAAAGTGAGGGACTCCTAGGGACTCGACATTGCACTCACCATTGTCCTCGCAGGACTCGTGGCACAGGTAGGCCACCACGGGGGCGATCAGCTTGGGCTTCAGCTCGTTGAAGAGGATGTCGGGGAGGATGCCCTCGGTCATGCGGCTGGCGGCCGTGGGCACGATGACGTTGCACAGGATGTTGTTGCGGGCGCCCTCGATGGCCACCGTGTTGGCCAGGCCGACGAGGCCCATCTTTGCCGCCGAGTAGTTGGCCTGGCCAAAGTTGCCGTAGATGCCCGAGTTGGACGAGGTCATGATGATGCGGCCGTAGTTCTGCTTCTTCATGTGCGCGAATGCGGCCTGGGTGCACTTGAAGCTGCCCTTCAGATGGACGTCGTTGACCAGGTTCCAGTCCTGTTCGCTGGTCTTCACCAGGCTGCGGTCGCGCAGGATGCCGGCGTTGTTGACCAGGATGTCCACGCGTCCGAAGGCGTTCACCGCCGTCTCGATGACCTTTGCCCCCTCGATCACGGAGTTGTAGTCGGCCACCGCCTCACCGCCGGCCTTCCGGATCTCCTCCACCACAATGTCGGCGGCCCGCTGCGAGGCGCCCTCGCCGGAGTGGGTGCCCCCCAGGTCGTTGACCACCACCTTGGCGCCCCGTTCCGCCAGCAGGAGGGCGTACTCCCGGCCCAGTCCGGCGCCAGCTCCCGTCACCACCGCCACACGGCCATCGTAACGCAGTTTTCCATCGGAGGAGGACATTGTCGTGTTTCGGGTTTCGGGAACACTCAAATCTGGTTTCGTTGCACAAATCGTCGTCGTCGCTACGGCACCGCTCTCGTCTGCGAACTACGAATGGAATGAAAAGAAACGGGTTGGCTGGGAGTTAATCAACGGCAGAGCAGTTTCCAATCGCCTTAATCTTAAGCGACCAGCGATAATGCTATCGCCTTAAGTGTGTGGGTAAACGGGGTTCTTGGGCTGAAGAACCCGTCGTTTAATCGGCTCCCTGGTGGCATGGTCCAAGTCCAGGGGTTCATGGTTCACGAACATTTGTTATGTCGATGGCACAACAACTGAGATACAAGATACATTTCGGCGTATCAAGCGCATATGCAGTGCGAAAGAGAGCGAAGACTGCAGGCGGCACCTTGCCAGTTACAATAACAATACTCCACTTACAGTTCTCGACGGTTGTACGTTGGTATGCGCCCGAATGCAAAGATTACCCCAATATCACAGGTACAAAGTGCATCACTGTTTGATACCCAGATAAGTTTACAGTCGTTCGTTCACTCCTGCGCTGAGTATCCCGATAATTTACTAAAATATACGCCCATACTTGTTTGGAAACATTTCACAAATATACCATGAAAATACCAGATTCTGGTTTTCATCGCAGACGCAAACCTGGGCTCGGTATTTTGCTAAAATCTAGCAATGGCTCAACCCATTCGATGGCATATCTATTGATTTTGAAAATTCAAGTCACGAGAGTGTCCCTTGTACCTATATAGCCGCATAAGGGAAATTTAGCTACGGTATTGTTATGAGTCCCAAAATTCTATTGGAAAAATGGTACCAATTCGATGCTGAAATAATGATATTTATTTTATAAGATATTTAAACCATTTATACAATAAGCAGATTAAATTTAATGAAGTGTCTTTAACTGATCTGATATGTATTTAGTTCTAGTAAATGACAAAGGAAGTGAACTAATAGAACTATTAGGATATCCGATACGAATTTATCAAGTAAAAGTTTATTGGATTCGTCATTAAATTATTTTATAGTTGAACCAAAAACCTTAAAAAAGTTAAATTTTTTTTTAATTTCCGAAAATTTTTAGAATTTCTCACTTTTTGTTCAATTTTTTTTGGTTTAACTTGGCTTATAGTTAAATCAAAAGAAATTTAATTTAACTTAGCTTCTAGTTAAACAAAAAAATTTAACAAAAAGTAGAAATTCTAACATTTTTCGGAAATTAAAAAAAATTATTTTTTTTACTAGTGAAAATAGAAATTTTTTTTAAATTTATCTTTCTGATGGGAATTGCGACCTGCATTTTTTCCGCCGCACGACACAAATGCTCCCCCAGTTTGCAAGTCTAAATAAAAACTTAACCCTTAAATTCCACTTAAATTAAACTATTAACATTTAATTTTATTGTTAGCCAAAAAAACCCGAAAGTATAGTTTATTCGTTAAAATGCATTTACTAAGATGTTTAGAATTCATTAGAAATATTTTCCAAATTTTTCGAAAAATAGTTTTTTTTTTTGCGCGCCAGACTTTCCTCCTTATTCGGATAATATTATTAAATAGAAAGACAATTAAAAGCTAAACTAACTCTTCTTTTAATATTTGGAATTCAGGCTTTGGGACGTGCAGAATGAAAACAACTGCATTAAGGTGTGCCGCGGTCACATGTCCCACGTGAATTCCGTCAAGTTTTCCCCTGATGGACTTTGGATTGCCTCTGCTGGCTTGGAGGGCTCCATCCTCATCTGGGACATACGGAAGAGCAAACAGATAATGGAGTTCATAGCGGAACCGCCGGTTACGGCCATAACATGCGTTCAGTTTCATCCGTTCGAGTTCCTGCTGGCAGCCGGGCGTATAGATGGCACCGTGTCCATCTACGATCTGGAGCACCAGCAGCTCGTCTCGCAGACCACTCACTTCTATGGTCAAGCTATTAGATGTATAACCTTCAGGTGAGCTTGGGGAAATCTCTTGAAGAAATACGTAACTGCACACAAATGGATATAAAGAAGGCAGTACTCTGAATATATTTTATTGCTCTTCTTAAATTGCAATATATAAGACGATGGAAATTCTAACTTTAAACATATTTAACGGAAATAGTTTCTTCTTTCTAAGATGATGGAAAGTCTAACATGTTTTGAGTTAGACTACGGAAAATGTTTCTTTAAAACCACTTGAAAAAATCTGTAAATTGTCTTATTCTTGTCCTAATTTTGTTATATTTTAGCGAGAACGGGGAATGCCTCTTTGTCGGCAGTGCTTCCGGTATTTCGGTCATTGGCTGGGAGCCGGACCGTGAGCTAGACCACATAAAAAGCACCTGGTCCTCGTTGGGCGACATGAAAGTGGTCAACAATAAGCTGGTAAGTGAAGCAACTATTTGTCCTCACCCAAAATGAGTGAAAGTTTAATATAAATTCATCGCCTCTCTCCTTGCAGATATGTGGTTGCCATGAGATCGACACTGTTTCGATCAACACCATCAGTCTGGACCTCGTGATACCGTTCTACCAGCCGCCGAACTCTCTACCCAACTTCAAGCACAACTCAACGAACCGAAAGAGTTTCTCTCGCGGAAACCAGAAGTTCAGGCTGTCGCTGGGCGGCTCGAAGCCGGCCCAGGTTCAAGAAGAGCACGAGGACAACAAGAGCGATCTGTCGTCGCCCAACTTTAGTCTGGAGGTGGTGAACGAGGCGGTGCTGGAGTCCGCGGAAACGTCTCCGATGTCCTCTTTGCCGCCCGTCCACTTGGCCCCGACGGCGGGCTCGTCGGCGGACCTCGCCTCTCATCATGTCATGTACGGGGGGTCAACTGAGGCGTCTTTGCGGCAGGGAAAGTTTTCCAGGGTGCCCGACAATATGGCCGGCTATGCGAGTAGCTACGCCATCGATACCCGCCTGATGTCGATGAACGAACCCAGTTCGCTGCACAAGCCGGATATTTACAACATATACTCGCTGGGAAAGGACGAGGAGGCGGACGTGCAGCAGTTGGAATTCGGCCTGAACGATAGCAACCCGCCAATTCTGAACAACTATGACAACTACGAGATGGCTGAGGACTTTCCGGTCAATCAGAACCTGAACTACATTGCCAATAACTATAAGCAAGTGCCCGCCACCTCCACTATCAACGCCTCGTCCAAGTCGATCAAGAAGACTACCACCACTGCCCTGCACAAGCGGACCACGGGCAGCATGGGCAACTCCAAGCAGACGTCCACGGGCATCTTTGGTGGTAGCAAGCTCAGCCAGGTCTCCTCGGTTAGCTCCATGGAACTGCACAAGCTTGACGACAACATGGTCCTGAAAAAGTCGTCCTCCTCGAATGTCGTCAATAAGAACAAGCGTCCGATGGGCTCCGCCCAGAGCCAGTTCAGTAAGGAAAACAATCAACAGAAAAACATCAGCGTGGAAATCATTACAAAGCCCCCGATGCGATCTCGCACCACCCTGGACATGCGCACGTCGCACCATACCAAGACTCAGGAAAAACATATTCACGTAGGTATTCAGCACCCTTCACCCTTGACCAAGCATTCACGTTCGCTCAATTTATCCCTGCAGCAGCCACTAAACAATCGCATCATGTTAGACGATCACGACATTGATGTGCTGTCCAGATCGCATGAGGCTGTGCTGCAGGAACTAAGCAATCGCCAGTCCAGCCTAGACTTGCTGCGCCACGCCACACGGTGAGTATGGGTCGGCACTTGTGTTCTGTTTGAAACAGAATTCCATTTTGTATTAAGGAAGTACCCTAAAATAGCTTTTAAATTGGGCGATAGAGACACATTTCACTTGGTCCCACTGTCTGTAAATTGCTTTGCAATCTATTCTCTCAGTCTTAAAGTATCTGCCTTTAACGTTTACCATGAACTTATCGCTGTTGTAAGCATTTCTTACCTATAATATAATTATTATTCATCAATTTTAAAATTATTTCTGATGCATGTTTGTCCAAAAACCTTCAGGATAATCTAATACCAGGATTATAAAAGAGGCTTCCCAAATTTCCTCAAAGTGATTAGGGTCTGCCATTGAGTAATATTTATGTTTTGAATTTCTTAGATCGCACGATGTGCTTGGCGCCTTGAGGCAAGCGAAGAACTGCGGAAAATCTATTTTCATTGATCTGCTCGGAGCCATACTGGAGAAACCGTAAGATGCAATTTGTGTAATAAAAGCTAATAGTATAGGTCAAACCCGCTTTTAGGTCCTCTTGGAACTTGGATTTCTGCATGTTTGTGCTGCCAGAGATTTACGAACTGTTGCAAAGCCAACACAAGTTGTAAGTACAGATGAAACAAATCGACGGGGCCATCGAAATAATCCGAATTTTTAATTTAGCCACTTCACGAGAGCTTGTGACACACTTCGTATTATTCTGTCAAACTTCTTGCCAACCATTCAGGAAAACCTCGACTCCTGGGCTACGAATAACCTGGGCGTTGATGTGACTCGTGAGGATCGTCAGAGGAAGTGCGCGGAGTGCCAGCGGTGGTTGCTCCAAATCAAGAACCTGCCAGAAAGCACACATTTCGGGTCGACGCTGTCGCAACTGCAGAACATCATTATTTTCTAAGGGCTACGCATATCCAGCTTTGAAGTCTCCTCGGCGTTCAGATCAGCTCTTGAACGGTACAAAGATCGTCAACAAAAGAAAACCACCAGCTTCCCAAAACCTGATTCAAATACGGTGTTGTGGGGAGTGGCCTCATTTGTCGCTCTAAGCTGCCAAACTAAGGAATTAAAACAATCGTGTCAGGAACTGCTGCTCGGAAGCGAGCTCTTCCGAACCCTGTTTATCCAGCATTAACAACATTAGGGCCGTTTTTTCATCTCCATGTTGCGATTAAACGAGCTTTTAAACTGCGATATTCTGCGCGATTTCCTAGTTTACGACTGCTTTCAGCGAACCATGAAGATGTGAAAACAGGCCTTAGTCATTTAATGATTCATACTATTAATTTGTTATGGAAACTAATTTATAAAATTATTATTTACATAAACCTAAGTCTTAAAAATTTGAAAAAATATAAAAACACAAAAACACAAAAATGTATTTCTCAAAACCGTTTTAATGCGGTTATTTTGAAAATGTATATTTAGGTAAGTAAGAACGGTAGATAAATATATCTCTTCTCTCTCAAATATAATAATTAAATGATAGAAATGAAAAAGTTTAGACACGCAATGAGAATGATTTAAAATTATTACCCTGGATATTTTTGAAACAATTTTATACGAGTTTCTTTTAGAGTCCGATTCTAAAAGGTATAAAGGTATAATAGCATCATTCTTAATAAGTGATAATTCGATTAATCGTTTTTAATATCTTCATAGCGTTTCTACTTTTTTCACTGCTATGAGAAATATGGGAAAATATATTTGTAAAAATTGATTGCAGAATAAAATATATTTTTGAGATATACTTAACACAGTACCCAGTAGGGAATATAATGTTCTTTGAACGAAATATATGTAATTAGATTGTTCAAAGGAAACAGATTTATCTGTTTGTTGAGTTGTAACTAAATTTATGTTTTGCATGTATTTAGCACAGCGACCAGTACCGGAAAAAGTTCTGGAGGGGGCTTTTATTATGTCTTTTTGTGCAAGCGGTGAAATCGGGGAACGCACTACTGCGGTTGACTGCTCCAATAGAATGACCAGCAGGGCAGCCAGAACAATCCGCTTTGAAGTTCAACTTACCATGTCGCCGAATCATTGTAGCGTTTAATGCCCAACCTTTCAATAGAGTTTTGCAGCGATTAGTGGAGCACTTCTGTCTGGCACCCCAGAGGCATCGGCTGTACTTCTGCACCATGTCCGAGACCAAGTTCGTCCGGGAGCTGCTCTGCTATGTGCCACTGCTGCTGGCTGCCTGCGTGTCGGCGAACCCCGGGTTCGAGGACCTCCGCCGCACCCCGGACTTGGAGGCCAAGGACAGCGAGGTGGACACCGCGGGAGTGCTGGACCCGTCGCAGCACAAGCTCATGGCCTTCCAGAAGCCCCCCATCGGGTACAAGGACTACGAATACTTCCTGGGACCGCGTCGCACGGGAGATCTCTACGCCGACAACGACCTCGGGGCCACCTCGGCACTGAAGATCCACGGAGAGGGCAACTTGGCGGCCCTGAACAGGCCGGTCACTGGCGTCGCCCACAAGCCTCTGCCCTGGTACGGCGACTACTCCAGCAAGCTCCTGGCCAGTGCGCCCATGTACCCCTCCAGGTCCTATGATCCCTACATCCGCCGGTACGACAGGTGAGAGTGCATGTGATGCAACGATTGCAAAGGATGAAAACTGATGTAGCACTTAATATTAAAAAAGCAAGGAGAAAAATCAATAATTGATTAGCTAAAGGATATAGATTTAAATCACAGAGAGCAGGGGAAAAAGCATAATTGATGAGCTATAGGATATAGTTGCGCCCTGCGCGAGCTTATTATACGCTTGCAGGTTACAAATTATTTTATTATTATCCCCATGCAACAGAAATTTCCGATCCTATGAAGTATAGTAGTAGGATATGTATCCTAGCATATATCAGCATTAACAGGAGAGTCATTCTAGCCAAGTCGGTCCGTCCGTTGAAAATAGTCTCTCAGTTTGAAAGCTTTCTGGATAACATTTTTGAAACAGTCCTCCCTCCTGCAAGTAATAAAAAGTAGAAACTAGCCAAATCTGGGAAACTTTATAGCTGCCACAAGAAGCTGGAAAAATAATTTAAAAATAATATAACTTTGATTTCGACTTTAAATGATTTTACGGTTTTAGTTTCATAAACATCGGACCCACTATATCATACAGTTGTCAAGGGAAAGATTCAAAAATGGTATGAAACTTCGATAGATCTTCGTTGTTTTTAAAACTTAAGATATATGTATGTATAATAATTTTTTACTTTTTTTAAAATACATTTTTAATTTTAAAAAAATCTGAAAGATTTTATTTTAGCTTTCATAGAAATTATAGAAACATAGGCATGTGCAATGTTACAGTTTCAAAAGGTATTTTTTTTCTTGTTTATAACATTATTTGTATCCTTGCATGCGATAAGCAAATGTAATTATCGGTTTTTAATAAAGGTACCATGGCGATTTTAAAGAATGTAATCACCAAAAAAAATGTAAAATTATAGAGCGAATTCGCCCAAAAAAGTCTACAAGAAAAGCGGATAAACAATAAACCAGCAGTTTAAGTCAGTTTTAGCTATTAGGGCCGCTTTCTGAATGTCATGTTAGTTCTACATTGTAATCTGTCAGAGGAATTTACCATGAAGTCCAACACAACGACAAATCCTTAAAGAGTCTGTTTTCACACGAGAAAATAGTGGGAGAAGGTTTCGTAATCATTTTCGTTATCATTGCCTCGTAAAGAATTTCCAGGCAAAGTTTAAAGTTTATCTTTAAGAGAATATTGAGACAGTCAATTTTGTTGGCGAAGTAGCCCCACTCTCCCCAATAAATAAAAACATGGACGGTTATTAAAGTCATTAAATCTATATAATCCTAAAAAAAATTACTTTAGAAGTTTTTAAGAAATAAAGGTTAAACAAATGGTATGTAGGTTTTTACTACCATTTTCCAGCAGATGGCGGTAGCAACTTTATTGTTTTCGCGGCAGTGTGCACTTGTTGGATGCCATTTCTTAACATAACACTCCAGTCACATAACCAAAACTTGTATTCTTCTTTTAAAATATAATACATAAATATAATAAAGTCTCTCAAAGACTCCATAATAATTACGTTATTATATTATATTATATTACGTTAATTTCACAAAGCTTTCTCACTCTGTGACTACTAATTTTGTTATTTGTTCACTTCCTTCTTAATAAAAATCACTTAGAGCATTTAAAATGCCAACATGAAAAGAGTGATTTGGAATTTCAGACGGAACGATCATATTCGCCGCCATATTTTAAACGCTAAGATACCTTACACTTCCATATACTATTTTGTGATTCATTGACCATTACTTAGATGATAATACTTTTTCGTTGTCGCATATAGATGTTGTGAGTCAAATCAAAATAGGATAGTAATATGTGTAATAATTTAGCAAAGAAACATTTTGTCCAGTACATTTTACTCATCAATTATTATTGGCAAACTATGATTCCTTTCCTGATATTATTCAAATATTTTATTTTCCAGGTACGATGAGCAATACCACCGCAACTACCCGCAGTACTTTGAGGACATGTACATGCACCGCCAGCGCTTCGATCCGTACGACAGCTACAGTCCCCGGATGCCGCAGTATCCGGATCCGTACACCATGTATCCGGATCGGTATCCGGACTCGCCGTCAGTGCGGGACTATGCCAAAATGCGGCGCGGATTCATCGAGGAGCCCATGGCGCCGGTGGACTCCTACAGCAGCAGCAAGTACGGCTTCTCGAAGCAGTCGGATCTGGCCTTTCCGGCCCGGAACGAGCGGATCGTATACTATGCCCACCTGCCGGAGATCGTGCGGACACCCTATGATTCTGCGGCCCCCGAGGAGCGGAACTCCTCGCCGTACAAGCTGAACAAGAAAAAAATTAAAATCAACCAGCGACCTATTGCGAATAATGCTACCACCTATAAGATGACGTTGTAGAGGTCAAATAGAAATTACGACATTTTTTTTTATTCATTATACGACAGCACTTGCATCTGCGACCCATAGAGATAAGCACCACGTTCAGCGTTTGGAATATTTCATTACTTGTATGCAATCACAACATTAAATTAAAAATACCCATAAGTCAATGTGTGTGTATAGTTTCCTCAGACCATCTGCAACCGGATCACTGAATTGGTTCAGAACTGGTTATCTTTTCTAGTAGACATAGACATTACTCCACCAGATATACCTATTCTAAGCGGAGAGTCACCCAAACATAGATGCAATACCAAATATTTGGATCGGAAACCAATGAGTGGCTGCCCAAGGCCACAACAGCCCTATATAAATTCCGAAATGCCATCGGACTCAAGCAATTGTACGATGTATATATAACTATTTAACGTGTTATAACTATTAACTTGTCTATAATCATCTTATCCTTTTGGGGCTTTAGCCATTGTTTAGCTGGCTTAAGCTGGTTTTGTACTTCTGTTTGGTAATGTTGGCAACCCGTCTCTTATTATGGGATATAAGATTCCTTTGATTGCTGGTGTTGTGAGCGATTTGAGAACAATGGTTCGATTTTGATTACATAGATAAACCTGTTTCTATGGCGGATGTATGTTGGATGATGTGTGGTGAAGGATTGCTGTTTTATATTTGTGTGATGTGAATTATAGTTCTGTCTTTTGGGGGTGGCTATTTTGTTTAATCGTTGGTACTCTCGTTGACTTCGTTTGATTTGAACCTAATTGATTATATTTTTCTTATTTTTATTTCTCTTTTAAAAAGCGCATGTTTGTTTTTACGCCTATGTATTTTGTGTGCTCTCCGTTTGGAGTAGGTCTGGTAGGTTTTTATTCAATCTGAGACATTAAGTCGCCAGAAATGTGTTAACGTATTATATAACCTGTCCAAAAGATGGTGACCATTCAAAAACTGGAGTTGGCGAAGGAGAACAGATGGTTAATGTTGGTAAGAACGTAGTGCGTAGAGAAATGTGTTAGTGATTTATCGTAAAAGAGTGTAGGTAGTTTCTATAAAATTGACTTTTATTACTTTCAAATAATAAAATATTTGTATACCCTTGCAGAGGGTATTATAATTTCAGTCAAAAGTATTATATTATATTCTTGATCAGCATCACCACGAGAGTCGATCTAGCCATGTCCGTCTGTCCGTCCGTATGAGATAAATCAGATAGTTAAGATCTGGGCTATACAGGGTTGGAAAGTTATCCTGAGACAGGGTTTACTTTTAGGATAGACCAAGTGCACAATACCACTTAAGTATTTGTAAACTCATAACGATTTAGTACTAATTAACTGAATTACCTGAGAAAAAGTCCCTTCAAACAAAGAGTGGTTTAATGTGCCAAATTAATTATATTTTATTTATTTTGAATACATATTTCATGGTAATTTTGAATGCTCTGCAAGTCGACAAATTTGCTCTTTAAATCTCTCCCGAATCGGTGGTGTTGTCGGTAGAGTTATCAGTGGAACTATCACCACACACCAGTGTAGCCAATAGTCGGTATATTAGTGCAGCCATCATCATCTAAGGTATCCTCAAACGTTTCGAAATCTAAGACCTCCTCAAGTACTTCTTTAACTTCGTTAGCGACATTAGCCACTAGACCACCATCGCGTCCTCCAAGTCCTCCAAGTCCAAGTCCTCCGCCACCTCCTTCGACCACGACCACTGCCACAAGGGCCAGAAGGGTAATTGCAATGTAGGCACGCATTCTCAGACTTTGGCTCCAATCGAAACTGATGTCGATTCAGTCTACGCCAAGCCCCTTTTATACCAAAAACTCAAAACATCACCAGAATGCAGCCGAATCCCACCCGAGAATCCCCGTGACGTCAGCTTCATCTGTGTGCTTAGCTGGAATCTCCGAAGAATGGAGAATTGCTAGATTGGGGGTTATCGAGCTCAACTCGAATTGTTCGCCTCTAATTATTCGTTACATATTGTTTTCATCCATCGTTTGGCAACAGCTGGGCCATGTTTGAATTAAATCTATTGTGTCTATTTTAATCATAAATGTTTGAGTTTGAAATGACTGTGGGACTAAAGGGGAAGATTTGCTGACATCTGCGTCTATATTTGAAATAAATAATAATTTACCTTTATGGAAAAATAAGAAAAAAAAGTTTGCTAAATTTGTATTTTCCTGAAATAAACTGGCAGTAAAACAGAACATATTTTATATCAATTTTTGTTCTTAAAATTTAGCAGAAACAAAACTACCAATGAATATGGAACTAATTATTGGGAATACAAAGCTCTATACCCTTTGTAGCATGCAACCTGCAACAGGGTTGCCAATTCTTGCAACACGAGCTGATGTTGTGTGTATTCAAGGGGGTTCTGGGGTTCTATAAATCCTTAAGCTACTTGCTCGCAAATACTTTTAAATATTTAAATAAATAGTAGAACAATGCTTGGTACTATTTTTATGCAAAATCTTATAAGAGGTGATATTGATTCTGTAGAACTTGTAAACCGCCTAACTTTCAATTTTCCTGTTAGACTAACACGAAATTATATTCCTCTAAATTTGCCACGATGTACATCAACCTTTTCTCTGCACGAGCCCTTTCGCGTTCTATTTAAAAATTATAACAACCTTTATCATCTAATTTGCATTTCAACTTCTATCCCGTTATTAAAACTAATATTTTAACTCATTTGCTTTACTCTTAATTGTGCCTTTTATTTTCGCTTGTGTCTTGTCTCTATTTAATTAATGTATTTTCCTCGCGAACTCGCACTTGTTTGTACTGCTCGTAGTGCATCAACGTCCATCAGTAAAAAAAAAAAAAAAAAAAAAATTTTAAATCACTCCCGGAATTCCAAAATGTATATTAATTGGTGATCCCATTTAAAACCGGCAAAGCTACTTCATCTTCCCTTTACAGCATGACGCGTGACTCCCAAATATGAAGGGCTTAGGGATTCATTTCTATTTAATAATTATACCCTTGCAGAGTGTGTTATGATTTCAGTCAAAAGTTTGCAACGCAGTGAAGGACCCTATAAAGTGTATATATTCTTGATCAGCATCACCAGGAGATTCGATCTAGCCATGTCCGTCTGTTTCTACGCAAACTAGTCCCTCAGTTTTAAAACTATCTGCTTGAAACGTTCCCAAAATTTGTCTTTTATTGCAGGTAGTATATAAGTCGGAACGAGCCGGATCGGCTATATATATGATATATAGCTCCCATAGGAACAATCGGAAAAAACAATTCAAACAAATAATATGTCGATTTACGTAAATACGTAACAACTGCTTCCTTTCTTGTTAGAAAATAATTTTTTGAGACCAGAAAACTTTTTTTGGATAAAGAAGAAGTCAATTTTTTGTTGAATTTGTTAAATTTAGGGTAAGGGTGGTCTTAGATTGCTGTTGTTACTATGAAAACTATGAAAATACGTAATATAAATTGAAATGTAATAATTTGGAATACATCTTATTTTTATAGCTGAAGGACGCAAATCCAAATTAATCATAGAAAATAATACAAAAATCGCATTTTTTCGGAAAGTATATATATATTTTTCAAGGAGAATACTTCAATTTATTGTTATGGAAAGTTTTCGTTACGAGTTATACGGTTTTCATGAAGAGGTGCTAAAGACATTGCACGCAAATAAAAGCCATTCACAAGTTTTGTGTCCTTTGACCAAAGCATAAATGTTTCCTTTGCGGATATGGATTTATTGAGAACCCGGCAGAACAACGTTCATCGGTTCGAGTTCCCTGGAGTCTCGTTAATTACGCAAGGCCATTACTTTGGCTTCTGTTCAGACTAGGGTATATTAAAGTTTGCAATTTAACTTTTTTGCCGTCTCTGCAAGAAACAAGAAGCATTCGTAATTATGTACCAACATGCATGCATCCAGCGAATACGGCCACATACTCGTACGTACTCACATGGAAGGTCAGAAAGGACATTCGTCCTGGAGCTTTATGTGTGTTGGGGCTTTGTTCTCGTTTTCGTTTTGACACAAGAGGAGCAGAAGAGCTATTATGGTGCCCAACACCAGCGACACAAAATACTCGAGTAATGCCCGAACACGTACAGCTAATTAATGTGATTTTTTTGGGGCTAAATTTGTCAGAGCGACTCGAAAGATGTAATTGCCAATGCTGTAAGGCTTGTGTAGCTTTGTACGCCATAAGGGGAAAGCGATTTGTCAACGACGATGTGACGAACTTAAATAGTTTTATGAGATCCATCTAAACATGTCCAAAGGCACAGTTTAGCCAGAAAGAGCGTTGAAGTTGAGTTCCCCATTTGTTCTCATGCAAATGTCAACAAATGTATAATTTTAAGACTCAGTATTTGACTATATTGTTATCAAGACAAAACACTTTAACCAAAATGCTGAAGATTACTTTATCATCATAGCTTTTTACTAAAATTGGGAAGAGTTAGAAATCGTCAATATTTCAAGCAAAAAACTTTTTTGGTCCACTTTTTGGTGATTATAGTAAAATATAAAGCGAGTTTCAATCGAATTTGCTTGTTAGCTATTTAAATATCGTTTTCTTAAAAAAAACATATTTGTAAAAAATATTTGAAAATCATTTAAAAATTTTAATTTTTAATTTACTGGCACAAATTAAAAACTAACCAAACAAAATTTGATTTACAAAATAAAAAGAGTAAAATATCAAGATCAAAATGATTTAAACTTTTTTTTTGAAGATTTGCCAAGACTGTTGAATTTTTGTTGTTTTCTCGTTTGAATGCGAAAATTTAAAGTTTTCCATTTGATGTATTGTAGTTATGAAGAAGTAAATTTTTACACGCGGACCAAAACAAAATACGAACGTAAACCGAAATGAGATGCTGATTGGTTTAGGTAGGGTATTCCCAGGCCACAAGGATGTTTTCCCTGACTGTCTTCTTTACGAGCTGCGCTTTCGCTGTCCTTTTCCTTCGGCGTTTCCGTGTTATTACTCACAACTTGACACGGACATTTTCACAGGTCACAGCCACGCACACATGCACACGCCAGGACAATTGCTGACCGGCCTTGTGGGACATTTTGCATGACGATGCGAAGGACTCGCGAGGGGGGCGAGAGGGGCGAGAGGGGGCGAGAAGGGGCGGCCACCT